AGTGTGACAGGTTACTCATTTGGACACTTTTCCCTTAGGCTGCACGGCTTATTCACAAAACCCCCAAAGTTAGGTTTGGAGTATTCAGGCCTTTACAAGGCAGAGTACTTAGTCATTAAAGGCAGAAGCACTGATGAAGGTGTCTAGCAGTTTCGGTCCTGAAAGGGAATCATTAACTCAAAATCTGTGAAGAGAGGTGCACCGAATCAGGATTAGAAGTTTGTTAGTGTTACTGAATCCAGAGTTGCCAGTACGTGTCCTTCCAGTCACTATTTTACTGAAGGCTCCAAGTGTTTTTTGGGTTTAGTTTTTAATTCAGAAAAGCCTTTCTCCATCAGTAGGCAGGCCAGGGAGCTGCAGAGATGAGACATAGATCTCCTTTCACAGAATCATGGAAGGGCTGAGGTTGGCGGGGACCCCTGGAGCTCACCTGGTCCAAGCCCCTCACTCAAGCAGGGTCACCGAGAGCCGGCTGCCCAGGCCCGGGTCCAGGCGGCTTTTGAATATCTTCAAGGAAGAAACCTCCACCACCCCCCTGGGCAACCTGTGCCAGCGCTCGGTCACCCTCACAGTGAAATCTTAGTGTTGCCACATGAGCTACAGCAATTTTACTTCAACATTTCAGTGTGTGTGGGATGGATCCTCAAACGCAGCTCCACTTTAGTGTCAGCTGACGTTCGTGTGCAACTTTTTCAGTTTCCTGTGGGAAGAACCAACAGGGGTGTTTCTTTAGTGGAGTGCATTATTTTTTCTGGGCTATGCTGAAGAAGTGGAGTTCCCTAGAGAATGGGTAGTGGTAACTCCATGATTGCTTCACTGATCTGGTAAGAGACATTTGTGTCTATCTTAATGGCTCAATTTCCAAGTTTTCACTGTGGATTTTTGAGGGATACAGCTTATGCAGAAAACTTACTGAATTCCTAAAAGACTGAAAGTATGAATCTGGCTAACTTAGTTATTTTTTGGTGATGTGTCTGCTCAGTTGAACATAATACTTCAGCTGAGACACCTACTTCCCAAGAGAGCAGAACAGCAAAATGTGAGCTTTCATGTCCCCGGCATGTGATGGTCAGGATGAGCTTGAGGCAAGACAGGTCTAAAGCCCCAGCCTAGAGCAGAGTCCACTGTTTGGGAAGCCTTGGGCTGTGCCTCCAGTGACTGTAGTCAGCCTGGAGTTTGGCATATATGGCTAACAGTTGCTCTTTGACCTCTTCAACTAAAACACTGCAATAGTTGTAGTGTCCAGCCAGCCGCTTCTAGTGAGCAGTCCAAGTTCGGTCATTTATCTACTATGGACTATTAATTCCTTACACAGGTTGTTTTGAAATGGCACATAGTTGAGTCTCCTACTGAAATCCCTGGCTAAGTAATGCAGGGAAGGGCTTACCTTTGCTTTTTGTTTTCTGTTACCTCTGTGTTAGTCAGGAGTGTGGTAGCAAGTCATCTGATGGTCCTTTTTTGTGAGAAGCTTGAAAATGAGATATTTTGTCTTTATTTACATTGTTTCTCCTTGACTGGCTGAGTATGTAACTGCTTGCTGCATGCTTGTTTGTTCATATAGAAGAGTGTTTTTTGTTGTGGTGGTGTTTTTTTTTTGTTTGTTTGGTTTTTTTTTTTTCTTTGTTTTTTTTTTTTTAATCTTTTTTTTTTTTTTTTTCCCCTGGAGATAATAGAAACAGCACCGATGCATTCACTTTGGAGAGTGAAAGCTCCCCTGCCTCAAGCCTCCCCCTGCCAAATAACTTCATGGGTTCTGAAAACAAGAAAAATAAGCTTAATTTGGTGCAGTTCTCCCCTCAAGCAGTACTTCCTCTCCAGAGAGGTGTAAAGCAGTGCCCCATGGCTGTGCTCTCCCATGTTGCATGCACCAGTTCTTTTCCAGCTGACGTCCAAATGTGATGGAAACTCCAGCTAGGAAAAGTAGTGCACAGCCACGCTGTTGTTTGCAGACTTGGTTGCCTGGGAACCTTGATCCGAGGGGCAAAGGGGAGAAATGGGGGTGAGGAAGATGATGGCAAAGCAATCTCACCCCATTCCTGCGCCGAGGGCACTGAGCTCTCAGCTGGGCACTGCAGTAGAGTGTGGTCGTGCACGCCTGTCCGTCTGTCCGTCCGTGTGTGTGTGCATGCACACTGCTCAGCGGGCGCTCTGCTGGGCTCATGTCTGGCAGCATGGGGCTGCCAGTGCCTTTGTGGGATTTGCTCAGTGTGCTCAGCATGTTTCCCTTTTGCTCTACCCCCCCCCGGCCAAATTAGATGCCTTTATTTCAGACTGAAGATCAGCTCTTGGGCGCGTGTGCACATGGATGTGTGGATGGATCTAGCTTTTATATTCTAAACTGGTGGCTGAACAGGTATGTCTGTCTCCTCCCTCTCAGGGTTAATGTATCCATGGATGTAAAACTTAGACACTCACCAAATAGCTGTTAAAATACAGATTGTTGTATCTTATGTCCCGTGAACAGGGAGTGTTTCAAGCGAGTGACTGCAGGGTGCACCTGGCTGCTGGTTGTGCGCCTACTCTCCTCAGTTTTTTCTGAGGTGGTTTGAGGCATCTCTTAACAGTAGCACAAACAGTATTGCTGAGCTGGTCCCTGGGGGCTGCCTGCTTAGTGGAGAATTGATTTTTTTCCAGCCCTCTGTTTCCTGCCTAAAGATGGCATCAGATTGCAGTTTGATTGCTGGTAATTACATGGACTTTACTGAAGACACACACGTGTCTTTCCTTAGACCAGTTTTATGAAATGCTTCAGTTAAAACAGAAGAACACAGCCCTTGTGTAGAGGTCTCAGTGCAAGACACTGGGCTGTGTTCTCACATTCCCTGTACAATGTATTCTTACCAATATTTTTCTTTTTAAAAGAAATTACTGTATGTAACCAGAACACTCTACAGGGCTTCTGTGGAAGCCATATCTAGTTGCAGGGGAAGGGGATCTTTAGTAAATAACTAGGGTTTTTTTTTACTTCGTGTATGTGTCCAAACCTCACTGGACAGCTACAAACCTGCTGGCTGTCAGAATGGAAATATATACAGCCACGCACAAACGGAGTGTAAGGAGGTCAGTGAAAACTTACCCAAATGGAAACAAACAAACAAGCCCGGTACCAGCGTTTTCATCATGTTGTGTCTCTGTCAGCAGTGGAAAGGGCAGAATTTGGTCAGTTAAGGTATACGGCCCTTTCTGTTTTGTGTAATTGGGAGCCCCTGTGTGCATCGAGAGAGGAGCTGCTCCTGCCTGCCAGTTACAGTGAGGATGCTGGGTGCCAGTTGTCTCTTTGGGGTCAGAATTTTTGCATCATCAATTATGAAAACTAAACAGCCTAAGCAGAGCTGTTACCTTCCGTACTTTCTGCAGGAAGCTGGTGAGCCTGTTTGAAGGTACGTACTTATTCTTGTGAAGCAGGTTTGTTTCCTCCCCTTTTACCTACACAGAGGCTGCAGCTTGTCACAACCTGAAATGCTGTGCAACCACTGAAGCTACTCAGGGAAAGGAGTTGAAAAAAAAAAAAAGAGATGAAAAGGTGATATGAAAGTAGCCAGACGTGCAGGTATGGCTACTCTGCTGAACAGCAATACTCAGTGGCATTTTCTTTTTCATCCAGTATGCAACAGGGTGTTACATACTGGACAAAGACTTGGCAACAGGGAAGGGAGGGTTGGCAAATGCTGCACATTGGCAGGAGGTACCGGGTATTGAAAACGTAGTGGTGAGGTGGGTTTTGGTTGTGTTTGTGGATGGGGGGGTGGTGTCTAGTGCAGACTGTTGGTTTTGTTCTCGACGAGCCCGGTGTCAGGTACAACTTCAGCAGCTGAGGTACCAGTCATCTTCCCCTGCGAGGGCAGGAGCGGCTCAGCCCATACGCCGTCCCCGCGGTCTGCGCCGGTAAGTCCTGCGCTCCCGCTTTGCTGCCCGCCTGGACCCGCCACTGCATCCGCTGTCGGTCACTGGGACGGGGGGTGATAAAATACACGGGCACAGGAATGCTTTTTTTTTTTCTTTTTTTTTTTTTTTTTTTAAATTAATTTTTTTAAGAAACTGCATACATCAGAGACAAACAATAATTTAAATACCATGCAGTTTCAGTATGTACAAAAACTAGGACATAGAGATCCAGTTTAATTTTTTTTTCTAGTTATTTACATCGTTTTCATACAGCCATAATCTGCTAAATTACAATACTGGAAGAGCACATGATTGACAGCCACCACACTCACTCCTATACAAAGACAAACTATATACATACACTTGGATATCAACTGGAAAATGCAAGTGGTGCAGGAGTAACTGGGACACATGGGAATGCAGGTAATGTGCCCGTCACCTCCTCTTTGTTTACAGAAGTTGTTCCAAGCTCGAGCAGACTGAACACCTGGGAAAAACCACTTGTCCCCCTTTTTCTTTCCTGATTTTATTAGCCTAGTTGTCTCCCATGGCTATATGAAGTGATTTTTATTTGCAGGCACCTTAGGGAGCCCCCGTTCATATGTAATTATGGGTTTCCATCTTGCCCATCTATTTTTATGAGTGCAGGCTTTCACTAGGCATGTTGGAAGTGCTCCCCCTCTGTTGGTTTATAGTGTTTCCACTGTACAGATGGCACTGTAGAAATAACGAAGGGTGAGATTGGTGACTAGCTGCAGTGATGACAAAGTGCTGTGATTACATGTAAGCATTAGGCTGAAATATATTTGTGTAATGGGGTCACTAAATTGTTTGTTAACATAAAATAGTTAAAAGTCTTATTACAATATTTTTCCCCCTCCTTTCTCTTCTGATGATGTCTAGTGTGTACACTAGGAATTATCTAGACACAAAAGCTGCCCTGAGCCCCATCCCAGCAAACCTGCAGCCTAAAACTTCTTCAGCTTGCAGGGACCTGTCCAGCGGGGCGCAGGCTGGGGAAAGGCCCCTGACCTTCCCTGTAATCATAAATACCTCAGCAGGTCCCTGCAGCCTGCTGCTGCTGCTGGGGCTGTGGGTGGGAGGGTGATGCCACCGTGGCGCTTCCTCACCCTCGCTTTTTTTTTTTTCAAACAATCAGAACTTCTGTCTCGATGTTTTGGAATTGCTTTTTCAATCCCTGCCGCCTCCTGAGCCACCCCCGGTTTCCACTTTGGCTTCCCATAGGCTGTAGAACAGATGTCACAGTACTTGCACATTGTAAGTATGAATAACCTGTCAGGATTCAGTAAAATATAACCAAAATGTTCTTCCTCATTGACTCTAGAATATTATCTCCATTACCAGCCCTGGAGATGGATGATTTGAATAGCCATTTTTTTTCTGCATTGGTTTTCCTAGTCTCTAAACCTGATGTAATTTCTTCGTTATTACTATTACTCTCCTCCTAATATGCATGAAGATGACTGGTGTTAACTGTGATGTCAACAGAGTCTTAGCAGGAATGCCATCATCTTTGTCCTACACATAATCCAGGTTGAAGGGGGGTAAAATCATGACTATTTGGTTTTTGATTCCTGCCCCCCAACAGGATCACTACTTTGCCACGACAGAGATGGCTTTCACAGATGAGAAGACAAGTGCTCAAGAAAACAGATTTAAAAAAAAAAAAAAAAAAAAAAGGACCAGCCATTCCCCAGCCTGCTTGCAACTTCCCACGGATGCCAGAGGCGGGTGTGCAAAGGGTGGTTGTGCTGCAGTGTTCAGGCACTGAACGGCTGTGGAAGAATTCCCTGCCAAAGGCTAACTGTGCAAAATACACAGACCCGCTGAAGGTAAAACCAGATGAAGTGCCAGTTCTGTGATGCTGACTGCAGTGCCAAACACTTTATATGGCTTCTTCCTCCTCCCCCTTCCCCTTTTCAGTAGTAAGCTTTACTTGCAATTTGGGAGAAACAGTGCAGTTCTTCCACTGTGTCCTGGTGTCTGCTCAGCCAGGAGTTAACATAATTAAAAAAAAAGAGAGAAAAGCATTGCTGCATGTAGCTGCCCTGGGGCCAGCACGAATCCTGAGGCAGGCTGAGCACGGCAACTTGCTGAGCAGCCAGCAGAGACCCATCTCAGGCCCATCCAGATGAAGGCAGGGTGCTGGGGAATGGCTGGCTATCACCCAGGACTCGGCAGTTCCGTGCCTCAACCAGTGCCCACGGGTTTATTTAGGTTACCAGCCTGGCAGGCCTGGGCATGGCTGGGGTCCCTGCCCCAGTACCCAGAGTGACACTGCCCCTTCCCATGGGGACTCCAGCACTGGCAACAGACTGACAGCAGCAGTCTGCTACTTCCAACCCTTTCCTCTGCATTTTAATCTTAAAAAAAAAAAAAAAAAAAAAAATCTCACCTTTTCCTCCCACCAGGCTCCCAAGTTCTGTGACTTCTGCCACCGCTGCTCCTTTGGCCTCCTTTCCCTTTCACAGGGAACCCCTAAGCTAATGATGCCAGGGCAGGTATGGGATCCATACTGGGACCACGAGGGCTCATTGCTCTTCAAAACAGCCAGGTTGCAGAGCCCTTTCCTAATACAATGTATATGTGCTCAGAAGCATAGTTTTGCTTTCCCTTTTTAAAGCTGTGATGCAGTCTTGTTAGGCGTGCACGTGTGTGCAAGTGAATTAACAAACATGAACCCCAGGTTTTCATGAAAATGACCCCCAAAGCAGTGTATTCCTGGCTAGTAGGTAAGTGCTCTGTCTTTGCTGCACTGAGCTGATAACATGGCATGTGAAAGGCTTTCACTATTGATGGACTTGTATCTAAAGCAGCTGTGAGCTGGTGACACAGGGGTCCCTGTGTGTGTTTCCTCAGAAATCATTACCCAGTCTGGGAAGTGTAGCATGTCAGAGGCACGATGCTGCAAAAACGAGGCACCAGAAGCCAGCTGGTTTCTCCTTTCATTTGTAGCATCTTCCATCCTGCAACGGCCAATTCTGAGTTAATAGCTAATAAACCATAGTGGTGCAAGGGCGGCCACAGATGAGAATGAAACGCTTTTGCTTGTCCCCGACGGGGAGCGAATCTGTGAGGTATTGAGTACCACCACCAAGCGTGAATGGAGCGTGTTAGCCTCGCTGCCAGCGTCGTCTGGGCAGGCTGGGTGCTAGAACAACTCCATGGGCAGGTCCTTTTGGTTTGCTCCTGCCACCAGAGGAGCGAGATGGAGGCCTGAGAGGAGGCAGGAGTGTTGGCACGATGCAGCACTGGCCACTAAATGACCAGGTGTGAGAGGCTTCTCGGCCCCCAGTCAGCGAAGGGCAATGTCGGCATGGCATTGGGGAGGGCGAGAGGGAGCACAGAAGAATGGGTAGGTACATGGAAGACAGGGAGAAAGGAAAAAATAGCAACAGAAATAATACTGTAGTAAAAAACTTTGGCCTCTCTGTTCAAACTGTCAAAGCAAAATAACTATTATAGAAGAAAAAAAAAAAAAAGATGTCCCGAAGTAATAATCTGGAACTTCTTACAGTAATGTTGCTACAGTGCTTTGGGCCACTGGCCCAAAACATGGAATAATAATTTAAGATCTAGGAAGGAATCCTAGACAATGTTTGCCCCAATTTGATGGCATTCTACTAGTTAAGGACTTGATTCTGGAAGGTGCTGGCCTAAGTTCAGAAGAAGCACTTAAATATGTTCAGCTTCAATTAAGCCTGTCAGATGTGTTCTTGAATGCAGTGAGGCTGTCAGCATGCTTACCTAATGTTAAGCACACGCTTAAGTTGGCAGGTAAACCAGGCCCAGAGTGACCAGCACTCTGAGCTCTGCTTAGTTTGTGTGTTAAAGCACTATAGTAAAAATAAATTAAACCCAAACCAGAACACCTCTGAATTGCTGTCCTTATGCCCCAGCTGTGGGGACCGGTGACAAGTCCCACCACCCTTACCAGTGCACCCGACTCCTTTTGTTAGGCCAAGTACCACAATACTTTTCTCAGAATGAATTTAGGATCAGTTCTTCAAACACCTGATACAGAGAGGACAGAGCCCCCGGTCCTTCCTGTCGTGGGTCCCTTCTGCAGAGCCGGTGGGAATCCCAGCGGTTCTTGCTGCCGGGCGCGCGGCAGCTCTCACAGTCACAGGGCTTGGGGCTAAAAACAAAACTACAAGCGGAGCGGCTGCCATGCAGTGACCACGAAGAGATGGGTTTTGCTTGCTTGTCCTCAACATTCTTGTCGCTTACTGCTGATGGGTTCACGACGGGGTTTAGAAAATTATGCTTGAAAGAGATGAAAAATAAACAGTTGCTAGAACTGAACCAGCCTTCAAGCAGGGAGTCCTGTTCTCTACAGGCGAGTCTTCTCTTCTGCTTGGGAGCCGAACAGTGCTTACTGACTGGCCGTAAACTTCCCCAGGGAAAGAAATGCCTTTCTAGTCAGATGATATTCACAGATGGGCTGGCCCGTAGAGTAGTTTTGCCCCTTCGCCATCCTCGTAAGGTGCTTGCAGCCTGACAGGAGTGTTTGGCCGAAGTGCTTTAGCGCCGTAGGTGCTCGTCTGTTGGAGACTTCACCCAGGCCAGTGATTCCCTGAACACCATCTCGGGGCTCTCCAGAGTTGATGAAGGAGGCTTGTCGGGATGAGGGGGGTTGCCTGAAGACCAAACGGACGCACCACCAGCTGGGCTTGAACACGTATGGCAGATCCACATGCCGGGGAAGTCTTATACATAGATGCCAAGTCTTGGCACGATTCCCACCAGGGGTATTTTCTGTTACTGAAGCTTGAACCAGCAGGTCTGATGATGCTGCAGTACCCATCACATGTAAATACAATTTTCCTTTTTTTATATTTATTTTTCTACTATTTTTTTTTTTTAAAAAAGCAGTTCAGAAGATTTACATTGTACGTAACAGGGAAGTGAATAATACCAGCACTTATGGTTCCTTTTAATTATGTTTTGAAGATGGCATAGTAGTCAGGTAGAATTGATCTGCTACGGTCTATGAAACCTAAAAGGCAAGGGGGGGGAAAAAATAAAAATAGTAAGATAATATCCTCACGTGCATACTGTACATAAAAAAACTGGAGAACTAATTGCTGCAGTGATAGAATGAGGCAGCTCGATTCCTGCAGCACTGACATCAGCGATGCTGGTGCTGCAGGCCCAGAACAGACATTCACACTGCTTTGGTCCTCGCCAGACATGTAGTTCATAGGCATAAGCAGTCTGCACCCAAATCTACCAAAGACACTAACAGGCTTTGGGTCCATCCTGTCAGATCCCCAAGCGAGTTATTTCAGATTAGCCAGCTCTCTTTCAGCCCACACCACGCCTGATTCCAACAAAACCGTCTGGTTTAGACAAGCCTTATGCTCTTCAGCCAGCAATATTTACATACAGTTCAAGTATGATTATTTCTTAATGTCGGAAGCTAAAGAGACAAGTAGAGCTAAAATGGCCCCCCTTTCTGCAAGTGTCAGGAGGCCTGGGTTTGCCAGCTCTGCAAATGTATTATTTTATTAAGCTCTGAATTTTCACTCCATCATGTATTAATTAATGTGTCCCACTAGTAAAGCACCATACATTCTCTCCTCAGCTCATGCCACTGCCTAATGACATGAATAGCTCATTACCTTGCTAATGATTTTATAATGGTGATTTAACTCTGTTTGTTTAAGGGAATTACTCTATTTTGTTTAAGTGTGCTTCCTTCAAGTGCATACTTCCCAAAGTTGCAAGTCCTCTGCTGAACTCCAATTTCTATTATATTAGCTATACCTCTGAGAATGCCTGGCCCAGACCTAGTGAGTCAAAGCCACTCGGTGGCTTTCAAATACAAACTGAGTCACCTTGGAGGGCCACTGCTCACCCAGCACTGGAAAAGCAGCAAAATACTGCCCAGAACCCCACGAAAGCCAAGCAGCTGAAGAGACTTCTGGAAAACAAAGTGAGTCTGTGTTTGTGGGATGCTAAAGGCCTCATGGAAATCCATGGAGCTCTCAGTGGAGCTCAACTCCTTGTAGCCACACTCCCTTTGAAACAGTCTCATCCTTTCTAAATCTGTCACTGCTCCCCTGGGAGAGTGAGGCAAATGTCCCTCAAAGGCTCAGTCACGGGGGTCAACAGCTCTAGGCCAACTGCACGCCCTATTAAGCTGCTTCTAGACCTTGTGGCCCAAAAGCAGCTGGCTTGTCTCTGGCAGCACTGTTATTACAAACCCCAGTGCAACCGTCCTAGCACGTGCTAGGAAGTAGAAAGGGAGTTCGTTTCTGCAAGGGAATATATGCATAATACATGTGGTGAATTTTAATATAATTATTAATTTATACACATGAAAAAAATCCCCTAATACAAAATTAATTTTGCCTTAAGCTTTTCTGTGTCCTTCTTGAAAGTATTGACTGCATTTTTTATGAGCACCTAGCCGATGAACGTATTAATACAAGGGCAGCTCCAGTTTTGCACCAGATCTGTCACTTGTCTTCAATACCTAACACTGATCTTTAATGTCTAACAATGAGTGTGGGGGGTTAATGTTGATTTGCAGAGGCCTGACTTCAGCTGAAATGCCAAGAGTTCAGCTCATTCAGCATCAAAGGCAGAGCAGACTCAGCACAGGCTGTGCGAGGGGACGTGCCCTGACCCAGCCTGGCAGAGAGGAGGGTTGTTAGTTTGGGGTCGCGGATAATTCATTCAGTCTCTACCTTTTTAACTAACAAAAGCCTAAAAGTGTAAAAAATAGTGCCTATCTTGTAAAGCCGATCTTGCTACTCCCCCACTGCTGTGCCTCTGGAAGGATGTGGGGGACAGGACCGAGAGATCTGCGCGTGGGACGTGTGCGGTGCGGAACAGCCGTACGCTCAGCGGGGTTTCAGCGTACCTTGCTGTGTGCTGGCTCTGCAAGAGTTCCCTGTCCTCCTTTGGACACCAACACTATTTACTTTTGGTATCAGAAAAACAGACATGTGGCTAAAGCATGATGATTTAAAAAAATAAAAGGAGGTTACGTTTTATTAAACGGATGGCACGTGCCTGCATACCACCACGCAACGGGGCAGCGTGAGCTCATCTGTGCGAGTTCCTTTTACAGCCTGTAATTCTAAATGTTGTCTAGACCTCCTGGTGTGTTCAGTGGGTATTGGAGAAACAGCTGCTGTTTTTTTCTGTTTTTAAAACAACAGTATTCAGTGATAGTCTTAAAAAAATTAATCTCAACTTACCTTGTTAGATGCCTACTTAATTCATGAACTTCCATTTCAGTGCTTTTAAATTCATTAAGCTCTTTCCGGATGGCTGCCTGCAAAGGACAAATAAACTCATAAATGTATAAATGAGAGAGATCAAAATAAGTTCACTTCTCAAAACAGTATATTAAAAGTGAAGCAGATAATGTTATCAGAGAAAGAAAAGCATAAAAAAAAGACTTTAAAATGTGAAAAGGAACAGAGAGAAACATGTTCTAAATCACATAAAGGGAAGAGGTAACTGCTTTGGTGGAATTGATTTGAAAATCAAATTTGAAAATGGATCGTAGACAATGCAGACACAGAACCCATTCTAGCTTATTATATAAACACTTTCAGGTACAAAATCCAAATTAGATAAGCATGAGAAAAAAATGCACACCAGAGTTTCTCAAACACTGCGATCTGTTTCAGCGCTGGACTGTGAGTAAACTTCCCCTGGATCCTGCCAGACTCATATTTGAGATGTCTCCCACCTTTATGCAGTCCTGAATTTCCTCGGGTAAAGTTGCCTAAAGTGTCGGAGCTTACTTGGGAGGGAAAGGGGGATGCCTGGCTCCCTGCCCTCCTCTGCCTCGGGCTGTGCCCTTCTGCCCTCCTCCTCCTCCTCCTCCTCCCTTCCGACCCAGCTGTTCCATTTGCTGAACGGATTCAGGGCACTAATCCAGCAGAAAACGAGCCACAGGCAGTTGTATTCAGCACCATCAGGAGACCCAGTTACCTACAGCTGCTGCGGTTTGTCCATGAGGGAAAGGAAAACCAGGGGTGACTGGCAAGAACTGAAGACGACAAAAGAAGGGGTGACGAGGAGGGACTCAGCTTTCTGAACTGGCTCAAGTCCCACACCCAAAGCCAAGACTCCTGAGAGCCCTGCGATGTTTGCAGCTCACAGGTGGGGCTGGCCGTCGGCGCCGAGAGGACGTGCAAGGTGGCTGCTGTGGCCTGATGCTCCCGTGGGTCCAAAGTACGTGCCGCTGCCTTTCTGCATGATGCACACATCAGCATCAGCAGCTGCAAGTGGCTGCTCCAGCCGGCGGTATTCCTGTCTGTCAGGAATTTTTCTTGATGAAGGAAATCTAAACTATTACAAACAGCACGAGCCTGAAATAAGGGCTTTTGCAACAGCCACTGATCCAGGCACTGGCTGCCTTTGCCTTGAAAAGCCCTGAGCGAGAGATTCTGTGAGTGTGATCTACGGAAAAGGCCCCTCGTGCTCTTTCTGCACAGCTTTGTTTTTTTATCTACCTTAGAAATGTCTGTCGGGCTCTGTCTCCATCTATCAGGACAGAGCGATGGGCTATGCAGCAATTGAAGGGCCTACCCTCAGCAGACCAATTTGCTGCTTAAGTGACTGTGAAGGAGGCCACGGGGGCTGCTGACTCCCACCAGGTCTGGAATCTATTCCCCCCTGCCTCCCGCAGCTGTTGGAGAGATTTAGAAGTGCCCTTTTTATTCCTGTAACAGTCAGACCTGGTAAAGCTGAATTCAAGACTGAAGGCAGTTCCCTACATCCAGCACACAGAGCAAGATTTACTGACAAAGAGAGAAGTCTATTAGTAAAGTCTATTTTTGCAATAAATCTGGCCTGTGCTGACCAATGAAGATGGTTATTGAATCAAAACTTTGGAAAAAAATGATCTTTTATAGGATGTTGCAGCTTTGTCAGGCATTTCAGAGTCGCTTCCAATTTGTCTGGCTATTTTTTCCAACAGTGGACACAGTGGTGGGGAAAAGCAGGTCATCTGGAATCAGAATACCACCCATATGACCCAAACCCCAATATATCTGATCCTTATGCTGTAAGGGGCATTAATATCAGAATGACAAACATTTCTTCTTCTCTGGCTCTGCTTAGAAAAGGCTCATTTGGAGAACTTAAACCCTCTGGTCTGTGTATTGACTTTGCACATGCATTACAGAAAACAAAAAGTGACCTCGAAGTACTTTGCCTTAATACTGAGTTCTTTACCAGGCTACATTTGATAGTGGTATTTAATACTTATTCTTTTCACAGGATGAGGAAGGACCTCTCTGGACACCGTATCTTCTCCTTTTTCCAGATGAGGTCTCTCCATGACTTTCATCGCAGACTTTCATCTCAAAGAGCTCAGAACCAGTGGGAGATTTACTCTCTCCTTCATCTACCAACTGGGAGAATATAACTAAGCCAGTTGAGTAAGATCTTGTCCAACGTGATGAGGTAAAACAGGAAAAGCTAATTTAATCCAGTATATTATGGTCTGTGAACAGTCCAGAGGAAGTTTTTCTTTTTTTTCAGTTTGGTTTATGCTACATTAACTTATCCAAAGCTAAACTGAAAAAGCTCTCCGTCAAGGAGGAAACCAGTGGTCACAGAACTATACAAGTCCTTTGGTTAAATTATGCAAGTAGAACGGGCTGCCCTTTCCTCTGTGAATAAAGCCAAGAGCACCATAAATGAGTGTCATGGCCAGGAATCCTGCTCCTGCCTCTAAACGTTGGACATCATGGTCTCCATCGCTGCCGGAGTCCCACAGCAAAGAAACAGTCAGGTCTTTAAAGTTACACGGGCGTCATGGAGCGACGCAAGCATGGCAGTCACCCATCAGCCTCACAGTCCTCTTTTCTTACAGGCCATAGAATGTTTAAGTCCTCTTCCCGAGGCAAGACCCTCAGGATGCGACTGGTGTAATTTGCCAGCAGTTTAACCCCTCTGCCACCAGTGCTGACACCACAGGCACCACAGGGCGAAGGTCCCATCCCTGCTCACACAGCGCACTCAACACCAAACGCGCAGCTCTCCTTCAGCTGCAGGGCTCACGTAATTTCAGTTTAGTGCTTAAAGTACTCTGTGGAACGGGGCAGAAGTCCTGAGTGATGGGCCCTGATGTAACACGCCAGAGAGAAGTTACCTGGCTTTGGTGGGACAGAGCCTTTGCCAATTTTTTATTTGACCCGCTGCCATTTTTGCACCCAGGCCTACTCAGTCCTGGCACAGCAATTCTTGCACGTGCTGCTGCCGCACTGCTCTGCTAGGTCTTGCAGGAGCTCTCAGCTCCAGCATTATGTGGCAAGACCAAAACCAACCAATAAGTAACAGGGCTGCCACTGCGACCTTTCCTCAAAGGGCTTGGCATTCTCTCCTCTCTGTTTAAGTGGTATAAATGCTGCTAGGCTTGCTCCTGGTTTCCACACACATAGCAGCCTTCTTGCCAAACATTTATGACTCAAACAACAAACCTTGTGAACGGGGAGAAACCACGGGTGTGTCGGGAAGGGATGTCAGGTGGAGGTTTATTCCGTGATGGCCGCGGGACCGGTGGGACCCGCGGGGTGCCGTTTGCCGCCACGTGCTCTAGCTGCTGGGATCGTGGCTCTCCTGAAGGTGTTCCACTTACTTTGTCAGCAGCTGTGAGTCGTGTCCAGGGTTTGTCCGCCCTCCTGTCGTAGTCCTGCGCGTCTGCCACTTCTACATAGTCACTGAAGCGGATGAGGATCTTCCTCTCACGTAGCTCTTCTACCGTGGGCCTTTGGCTCAGCTGCAGGTTTGAGGGAGGAGTGGAAAAAGACATCAGGACTTTACTTCTTCCCTGCAGGGTGCAGCCTGGGGATTTATTTTACTACAACCACTGTTATGGTAATAAGAGGGTTCAGAAATTCCCGGTAACGTTGTTTTTATCAACCTTTCACAGAATTGCTACTTGGGAGATCACCTCTTGTTAGAGCACCTTGAATACCATCCCACCTTCCTGCCAGAGCAGCCCACTGTTGTTTGGGAAGCAGCTGTGGCCGGGGAGCCCCATCCCTGGCTGACGTTGATCACCCCTGGCAGAAAGGAGATTGAATGCAAGGAAGCCTCCCAGTCCTCCGACATCTCAGGAAGAGATGAAGACCACAACACAACTTTTCTTACCATTCTGATATTCTGCAGACTTGTCCTTACCTCCAGAAAAGGCAGGCAGGATGGTGACTAGTGCTCATTGAACTTTTCACTCTGTGCTGCAGCTCTATACTGTGTCACAGCGTATTTGATATTTAACAGTTTACATTGCATACTACAAGCCAAAAAAAATTGCAAGGGTGGATTGTATCATGCCAAGAAAGCATCTTCAGTGTTCCAAAGCATTTCTTTCAAATTCCACAGCAGAATAAGCAGCCACAGTCAAAACTCTTCTCTCAAATTAGAAACACTAGTGTGCTGGTATTCCACGTGTCGTGCAGCCAGCTACATGGCTTGAGACTGGAACTGGCTTTCAGGGATCAGTTCTCCTAGGATGCACAGTGTGCTGGGTCACCTCAAAAGCAGTTACACAACTGTTTCTGAAGAAGGTGCTACACATATGCGTGCATGTGGCTAGCTGCAAAAGGTTCACTATTAGAGGGGAACACTTGCAATCATGATATATCAATATCCTAATAACAATTAGCTACACAGTGTATCATGCTATTCCCACTGACTCAGAATAGGTGCGATTTGCAACACTTCACCCTTGTGAACAGCAAAAGATCTAAGTATTTCATAAGATGCTCAGGACTCTCTTTTGCAAAGTTACTTAGGCTCCTGAATCCTGACATGCCATCCCACCTTCCTCCCAAATTAAGTGTATCAGTTCCCTGCATTTCACCTTCTAGGGAGAGTAACAATTCAGAACAGCCAGGATGCTAAGTGGAGGGTGAAAAATCCCACCTAAGAAATACTGGAAGGAAAGTGTAAGCAGGAGCACAACTCTACACTCTGCCATATAATGCCCTTGCCTAGGACAGCTGGCATTAGTCAAGTCACAGCTTGGCAGTTCATGTGTTGTCTCCAAAGCCATTTTAGGGTAAATTATTATGTTTAATAGGGGGGAAAACTCCTTGCTGTCTTGAAAAAGAACAACTTCTAAACTTCTGAATATTGAAAAAATCTTAAAACTACAGAATTTTCTCCCACCCACCTCTTGTGGGAGGCATGACAATTCCTGGGGCGAGCTGCTCTGCATGTGGTTGTCACACAACATTCCTCCTATTCCTCCCAAAAGCTTCCCAAGAAAAGCCCCAGTTTGTACACCCACATTCAGGCCAGCCATGCTCAGGTCAGCCGAAGAGCATGTATGCAGTGAGGTTAGCATGAAACATGCCTCTCTGAACTCAGACTACACATTTTGGGGACCTTCTTTTTAAAAAGCAAAATGCATACACGGCAGGCATAACTCCTTTGGGTTTTTTTTTTTTTTTAGACAAGAGGATAAACAGGTCTGAGCTGGAGTACCGTGTCAGAAAAGCCAGAGGGCACAATAAAGTAGATTGAAGCATGTATAGATTTAAAAATGTTATTCTTCATTCTAATGGAATAGAATTGTCTCTTCAGCCTGCAGACCTGATACCTACACCTAAGTCACCTGCAAGCCAAATACACACCGCAATTAATAGACGGGCTTTTAACAGAAGAAAGAAAACCAAAGCACACAGTTACGCCATGAGCGAGGCCTCCCTCTGTCCTGCAACTCGTCTTGAATGTGATTTCAAATTGGTAGGTTTTTCTGGCAGCCCCAGTACTAGGAGCTGCAGGTTTCATAGCACTGGTACATTATTATTATTATTATTCAGATAGCACAGCAGAGTTTTGCTTCCAATTATTACAAATTTAACTCTTGGCTACAGGAATAGAGAATCTTTATGCTGAAATAATATTATGATTACACCCAGAAATATCAAAGGTAAGGGTGAGACTCCACCTTTACTTCCATCAACTGCTTCTTTTCTCACAACAGCATGAATTAAGGAAGAATCACCAATATTATCTGTACATTTCCCAGCTTTTATCATTTTAGGACATAGCCTAGGTGTTGTTTCAGATTAGAATGAGATTTTTTTAAAAATAAAATGCCTTATTACATGGCGTATGATGACACCAACAAAGTATGAAATCGTGTGGATTAAACTCTGTTTCTAAATGGCTACAGGGGAAGCAGGAACTCCTACAAGCTTTCCAAGATGGAAGAAGACTTTCAAAAAACGGCTGGCTCTATTTCACAGCTTCTGTCAGCTCTTGACATTAGCCAGCTTTCAGGGTTGTGCTAATGGGAGTGATTAGCAAGTTAGTACAAAGGGGAAGGCAGGTGGCTGTTGATACACAGAAACGTGCTGTGCCAGGCTGTTGTCGAGGTGGTGTCAAGAAGGGGAGAGCATTAAGTGCCACAGAGGTGGTGGTGCTTCTGCCAGCAATGTGAATTCATTGCTGGTATTTACCTCAATGCTGCACTGGGTCTTAAACAGCTAATGTGGCTCCCTTGGTGCGGGTTACAATCAAAGACATGATGGTAAATGTTAAGGGCCACGTGATGAAATAGGACACATCTGAGCTGAGCTCCCATGTTTGCAAATGCACAAAAAATCAAACCAGGTGCATCACCTGCACATTTTACAGCACTGAAACTCACTGTAACCCTTCGGTGGGTGTGAAGAACAGCGCACTGAATTCTATGTGAAAATATGTCAAGGGCATAAGCACATTATGAAACTTTGGTGTTAATGTGCATTTTTCATTCTTAGATGACACCTGAGCTTAAGACAGACTTAAAGGCTGCTGCTTCTCTCCGTCTGAAGTCATACAGCTATTACTGTGTATTATTTTTAGATGCCCTGCCTTTGCTGCAGAAACTGACAACCAGTGCAATTTCAGGTACTTCTACACCCCGTCAGAGGGGTGGGCAGCGTCTCCATCCCCACAGAGCAGCTGGAGCAAGCGAAGCACAGAGACCGGGCAACAAGCTCAAGGTGACCCAGGAGGCCTGGGGCAGAGCTATGAACAGAAAAAAGATGCACTGGCTCATGTGCCAGTGCTCTGGCTGCGAGAGAGAGTCCTGAAATCCACAGCTTATAGCACACAGTTCATGTGTAGCCATAAATCTACATATATTTACATATATAAATACACACACACAAAACATATTCAGTAGATTAAACCAAAGTGCCAATCTGATCATACGAAATGTAAAGAGAGGGACAACCACACTGAGTGGTTTTCTAAAAGCAATTAATTAATGCTATGTTATTTGAACGGTTAACAAGCTCCCCTGCCTCTTTCTCACGCCATTGCAGAGATTTCTTGTGAGCTGCTAAGCATGAGGGCCTCTCTCTGTTTGGGCTGTCCAGAGCACCCTTAACTCCTGAAACAGCTTTGCAGAACAGACTCTGAGCAGCCCCACTGTAAGTGTCAGTTCAATGTCTGTTCACGTTGAGGTACAGCTCACCTTGGAGTTTATTTTTACGACCTGCAGGCTGTCGTCTCTTGGGTCAAAATTGCTTAATGCTACACAATCCTTCTTGGGCAACACCTGCGAATGAGCTCTGCTTCTTCTATCAGGCAGAAAGAACAGGGCACGTTCAAAACTTACAGTAAAAGGACGTGGTCAAGGACACGATGCAATTGCCTGCACGAGGCGGTGGTGCTCCAAGCCGGGGGGAAAGGGATCTTGCTCGGTGAGCTGGACCCTGTTTTACTGACTTCTGTTAACATCAAAGGGATGTGCACGTGTGTGTCTGGACTTTTTTGGGGTGTGCCACCTGGGCATACACATTTCTCTTTACCTGTGTGAAGATTTGTGAGCTGAGGGAGCAGGGTAACTTCATGGTGAGTGACCTCCTTACCCAAGCGTGAACCAGGGCAAAAAATCCCTTTTGTAGTAAACGGATTGGTATTAATGCAAAAGCAGTGTAAATGAGGACAGGACCTCCCATGTCTCATCACGGGAGGTCAAGTGTTCCTCTGGATATTCTCTATCAATGGAAATAAAAATGGGCATGTTCCAAACTCTGATACTAAGCCGATTTGCTAGGGAAGGTTTGACACAACCCCCTTTGCTCTCGGCATGGGAAATGAAGCAAACCCAAGCACCGCCACAAGGTAAAGTGGAGGGGGACATACTCTCGCCAGTCTGGTCTGAGAATTTAGTCCAGTGGGAAATGCTGAGTTTGCTCCACTTCAGTCACAATGAAGCTTGTCCTGTCACGCCATCGGTGCCTGCTTTGTCACCTCGTTAAAATGTTATGGTTCGTATTTAAGGAAGAAACCAAGGTGAAAAATTACAGATCCAAACTAGCAGCCCACACAACCCCCTCTCTCCTTTGCCCCCACCCTTTGTGGTAAGACACAGGAGCAGGGTGTGATGAAAATTCCCAAAGACCTTTACCTCTGACTATAAATGCAGTTTATCCAAATTAGCTGCTAACCTTTCTTCTTCTCTGACCTTTCCCCTCCTCCCGCCTCCCTCTCACCTCCATCTGATGAGTCCCACCTCTTTCGAGAGTTCATTATTTTGAACAGCCTGTGCTGATACAAGCCAGCGGAGGTCAATTAAAGAAAAGATTCAACTGTGAGACGTTTCCCAGTAAGGCACCATTGAACAGAGAGTTTAAGTTGTTTCAGGGAGCAAAGGCTTCAGATTATTGCATGGATTTTAAGAAGCAGCCCCACCTCATCATTTTGGTTGTCGATATTACTGCTATGAGATTTTTAGTTTTGGAGCAAGACCTCCAGGAAAGATTAGCTATTGACAGTGGGGTATAGGAAGCAGTAAACAGCTCTGGGGAGTGGGGAGCATGATGCTGTTTGAGAGAAGAGAAGGCAGGAAAAGAAGAGTTTTATTCCTCTTTGCAAGTGATTTGTAACGTGTTCTGTTAATCCAGGTTATGACTCTCTCTCTAATGGAAGTCCTCAGGGGGAGTTCAGGCTTGTGTTAATTGCCTTGGTGCTTGGCCAAATTCACTGCAGTTCAGAGAGGATAAATTCCTAGTAGTAATTCCTGGGGGCCCAGATCTCCTTGCGGAGGGGACCCGCCTGCAACGCTTCTCCCAGAGGGCCCCTGCACGTTAATATCCCTGGAATGGGCTTGTGGGCCAAGACCAGTGCTCAGAGAAAAATCCATCCTAATCCTCACGTCCTTCCACTCAAATGAGGCAAGTCCATGCGCCCAAAGGTGCTCGTTGGCCCCTGAGGGGCAAGGAGAGGGACCACAGGGGTGATGGATGTTTGGGACCCATCTATGGACATCTCAGGTGACAGGTAAACACTCTTCATCTCTCCTTCCTTGGGCAGGAGGGACACAAGCTACAGAGAAATTGTTCCAAACAGCATTTGCCTTCGTTTTGCTCCTGAATGGCAGCTATTCCCTATCCCCAGGTAATTTGGAGTTAGATGAGTCTGAGAGGATGAAAAGTGCTTAAATGGGCAGCTCACTATAGGTCACCTGATTTAAATTTTTTTTTTTTTTAGAAATTGCCTGTCCAGATGATGAATTCAACTGGATATTTATTGCTGACTTTAATAAGGCATCTAGACCTAGCAAGGTAATCTTACTTATTACAGCATGTCATGTTCAAACTTATCATCATAATACTGTACCAAAATGTCAGCGCTGAAGGAATTGTAAGAACAGCTTTTTAATGGATGAAGTGGGTTGTTCCCTTGGAGTTGGAATAATGCCACCAAAAAAATAGGTGACAGTAGCAGTTTCTACAGTGCAATGTCAAAAGTCTTGTCGGCAGCTTCTGCAGAACCCCCTTCCCTTCTTATTACCAGCTACACGTGGTTATGAGGAGGCAACGTGGTGTACTTTCCTGATGTTGAATTTACCCTGTGGGCATGTGTGTGCATTAAAACTCAGTGCAAACAGAGAAGTCTGCCGTGCTCAATTAAACGTCTGCTTGATCTGAGGTTTAAAAGGGTTTGGTAATAAGACTTCGGTACAAATTGACAGAAGGAGTCTGCCACTCTGCTGCAGACGCAATGACACATCTGGGACATGCTCAGGAAAGACAGAGCTGGGGAATAACAACAATTTTTGCAGGATTCACTAGGTGGTTGGCATTTCTAGTTGTTATCTATCCACTTGCACACTTTACTGAATTCTTTCCTCTAGTGATTTCTGAGCTTTTATGACAGTATGTTTGGTAGGTGAGAACAAAATTTGTTGTTAGACCAGGCCTGTGGTTCTTTCTTTAAAATTACATGTGTCACTACAGCAACTTACAACAGTTTAGAAAGATGATCGAAATCAAACAACGCTAAGTCACGTTGCTACCAACCTCACAAACGTCGGGGAGAAAAATCTTTACTAGGGAAGAAGCCAAAAAAGGCTAAAAGGAATGTGACTAGAAACAGGGCTGTGAACATTAAAGAGCTGACCGCCCAGGGCTCGGACTGATGCTGCTCTCACCGCTGCTCCTACTTAAAGGTGCAAACAAGCCAAAGAAAGGAATCTCACAGACACCTGCGGAGGTTTCAGGGAGCAGACACTGCTGCGATGCTACAGCAGCCTGGGCGTTTTAGTTGAGCATGTGGCCTCTGCCTGCAACAGACAATTCGTGTGCTTTGTACCTTTCCTACATAATAGCGGAGGATGGGAACTGTACGGCGATAACGCCAGATGAGTTAGCGAGCCCTCACCTCTTAGGCAGCAAGATTGGGTCTGGGTAGCTTTGCTTTGTATCTATTACAGCCGTTCATCAAATGGCATCAAGCTTTGGATTGGATTCCTGTACGTGTTTACTCTTCAATGTACAGGGAAATCAAAAGCCTGGTAAAACGGTATTTCTCGCCTTTGCGCAGGGCATAAGTCCCATAAAACATCTGCAATGCAGTTAGGATCTTTTCTTTCAGGCAGTGCTACGAGGGGATGTGAGACCATCCCTGCCATTGTTGTCAGGAATTTAAGTGTTTTAAAAATAATATTACAGCTCCCTGGGCTGCAATCTTAGCTCCTTCAGACAACAGCAGTATTCCCCTGTTGGTGACCGAGAACTCTGCTGATTTACGTGAGCTGAGAACAGGCGTGAGATTTTTAACCACAAAAGAAAGCAATTCAGCTCTCTGAATGTAACCTTTCCATGTATATTTAGTGGCCTTTCCTTGTCATTATTTATACCATAAAAGCGTGTGATCACATAGGTCAAAAAAGACTAAGCCATTTAAAAATGTACAGGCATGGATTGGCGCTGCTTCGCAAGCATGTGAGTTTTCAGGGGGCTTTCTCCACCTCTGGAGACAGGAAATATGTCACTGGTGAAATAAAGTTTATCTGCAATAACAGGATGGATTGTTGGCTGTGTACGTTGGGGCATCTGTAGACGTTTACAACAGCTGCGAAAACTGAATGTGTGTATCTGAAATGATTGTTCTTCAGTTTTAAGAGTAAATGATTTTCAAATGGGAGAAAACCAAAACCAAACTATGCTGTTTTTTCCATCCTTCCCTACCAATACAAGATTGTTTTTTGCACTATACACCATTTTGCAAGTACTTGTCACTATTTAGTTTAAATGCCTCGAGTGACAATCTCCCTTCCCAGAAAAAGTTTACTTCCCAGTTTTATGTTTTTTTTAAAGTGGAATTTTCAAATGGAATCAGCACTGTTTTTTAACTTTGCTCTCTTGGTAGTGGCTGCAGAAGCTATTACATTTACAGGGAGCAGGGTTAGACCAGTGCTAGGCCCTCTATTTTTCACTGTTCAAATCTCCTTTTGTTACTAAGACTAGATCTTCTATGGTCTCATTTCAAAATGTTACCAGCAACAGCCTGCAAATTGTTTTCCTTCACTTGGACTTACACCCTGTAACATTGGTGATTTCTTTCAAAGATTTCTTTTAAGAGTTCTTTCACACTCTACTTTTTAAAATGGTGCTGAGCAAAAGGAAAAAGGCAAACAAATATGCAGGAGGGAGAAAGTTACAGTAGTGTCATCAAAGTTGCTTCTCACCTTACGTGTTAATCTTCTCTTTATCTCTCGTTTTTCCTCCTGCTCCTCTTGCTCATTCCGGGCTGTAAAAGATTTACAAGGATCTCAGGCTGTGGACACATTAGGCATGCACAGTATGCAACAAAACCAGCCTCTCCATCAGTATATTAACGTTTCAGGACCTCTCTGATGCACAGCATGTCCCTCTGGGGCTGGTGAACTATCCTGGATCTGTAGCCTCCGTGCTTCCTCACACACTTCATAAAACATCCACAGCCTCCCTCCTTTGCCTGTGTTGGCACCCCTTCAGGTGTGTCTCTTTCTAAAAGGGCCAGGCAGTGAGCCAGCTCCTCAGAAACTGTTAAACTGTTATCTCCCTGCCCACAGGCCTGGTGGCCTCAGGGGGTCCAGCTACGGTTGGATTCTGAGAGGGTGCAAGGTCAATGACTGGAAAAGAAACACATGCATTTTCTATTTTTTTTTTTTTTTTCCCCCGCCATCTACAGAATTGTTTCTTGCTGCTACCCTTTGGAGAGAATGGAAAAATAAAAATCAGAATAGGGCTGCCAGGCAAAATCTGAAACTTCCCATGATGTGAGCAGAGTAAGGAGAGAGTGTCCTCCCACCCTGTGCCTTCACCGCATCCAATTGGAGCGCAAAAGCACACCCCAGGGCAATTCACTTCACTTTCAACATTAAGCCTAAGGGTCACATGTTACAAGTTCTTACCAGGGCAAGCCTCGAACATTATCCCTCAAGAGGACAATAACATTTGAGTACACTAACTTTTCCTCAACTTAGGAGCAGTCATACATATCTTTGCACTGAACTTTACTGAAAGTCACTAAAAGCCCAGGTTTCTAGGTACTCAGCTCCTCAATCAGTTAGGCTCTGTTTCCACTGCTTCGTTGGTGACTGAACTGCTCCTTACTCCAGTCATGCCCACGCCTAACAGACCAGAGCAAACACAACTCATCAAGCTTTTCCAACAAGTACCCTGTGGCCCTGGTGTGATCTGGTTTTCACTCAAAGAGGACTAGTGCAGGCAGGAACAACTTGCTGCAGGGGAGATGATGCAATTCAAAGGCTAGTATGGGATAGGAGGCTTGATTTAAACGGCCCAACTTTGAGTTGAATTAAACCCAAAGGGGAACCCCACGTTCCTCTCCAGTGATCCTGTGGGAGAAGCAGGCACCTCTGGCAGAGTGGTGGTAATAAACGGCCAGCCGTAACTTCTTCAGCCATGAGAGCACAGGTCAGCACTCCCACTAACCAACTGGGACAACCCAAAAATAATACAAGGAGGTCCTAACCCAATGGAAGTCTGCCCACAGCGGAGGAGATGCAATGTTTCAAACCAATGCATTCACACGCAGAAATCAGACCTAAGGCTCAGAGAGCACAGGAGTCCATCCTCAGGTGAGGAGGGCTCGGCTGGAAGCCAGGTTTCTTTCTGCTCAGGGTGCTAGAGCTGACAGGTCTATCATAACTGGTCACTGATTTCAGCAGGACTGGGAAATCTCCACCGAAGTGGATAAAGAGCCAGTCAGTGTTACGATGTTTTACAATACGCTTCTGATCTTTAAATGCCATGTTACTAAAAACGCTGCTTACGTTTTCAGGAAGAAGGAAACTGATACTGGAGTGAAATAACAGAGGCACAAATGACTTTTTAAATTATAACTGGAATACCTATACTGATAAATGTATTTTTCCTCTTTCAGTGGTTCCTGTCCCTACTGGGCTGGATTCTCTTCTAGCAATTGCTCCTGTAGCAATTTTGTTCTTCCCTTTGAGTCTCATATTTGAAGAGCCACTACTAAATCCTTGTAAGGTTAAGCCAGAGAGACACAGTGCTAAATACAGCCCACACAGAGTCAGGGTAGAACTGCAAGCAGCAGAGTAGCTGTATATAAAAGTTATGGCCATTCATTTTTGCGCTTGGGATACGATGCCTTTATTTTCTCCTCACTTCGCAGCCCAGCCACACACCTTCAGAGACAGCCAGGCAGGCTGAAGACCTCGGTCAGGTAAAACCTGGGAATTAGGAATACATTCTCCTCCCAAAACAGAAAGCAACTTTGTTTTAGCTATTTCTTTAAAGTTAATTAAGTCATGCCAATCTCCTGAAGCTACAAAACTGTTGCTTTATTTTATCTTAGGTGTTCAGGAGATACTCCGTTTCTCTAGATTGGTGTGCCTGAGGATGGGTGGGTACAGGTGTGATTTTCAGGCCTAATTTCTGTGTGAAATGTCCCCCAGTACTGTCTGAGATCCTTAGAGCCTACCTAACCATCATTTTTGTGAGGAATTTATGCAACTCTGAATGTGCCAGGCTGACAACTGAACTACTTGTATCCGTCTGAGAAGTGGCATGGGGGTGGGGTGCGAGGGGGATTGAGGCATCCTTCACCATAAATTTGGCCAGCAAGTATTAACTGGAAAAAAGTGTTCTTTAGTCTTCACACTAACCCTGCAGGTCTGGCCTCCTCTCACTACATGCCTTTGACTTAAATAAGAATTGGGTACGCTTCAGTGAAGGACCCTTCAAGCACCAGAGTCGCTGTTTGCCATTGTAATTCAGTGAAGATGACCATCTCATAATTACTGCAGCAGCACAGAGCTTGGAAGTGATTACTTCATATATAAAGACTGGCTGCCCCACCACATTTTGCCTCATTTCTTCCCATATGAATGGGCAACAATGTGGTTACACGTGTAACAGGAACATCATGGTACCAGACATGACATTTGCATGCAGGAGATTTCAGATTTAACTGCAGAGGAAATCCTATTTAGTCTACTTGAGAGCTTGCTGGTTCTTGTTTTGTTTTGTTTTGTTTTTTTCCTGTGTATGCATGCTCTGGACTGGGCTTTACCAAATTGCTTGACCTGCTTATGCAGAGAATTTACATTCTTTTCATTATTGCTTCCTATAACTCTTTTTCTGTAGGCTCCATTACATTTATTATAATTCTCCTTCCCAGAAGTCTAGGGAAAGGACATAAAGTGGTGTTCAAACCAGGCACTATTTATATTTGCTTGTTTAAGGGTGGAGTAGTTTATGCTTTCTTTTTTTTTTTTTTAATTATGTAACTATTTTAGTATTTTGTTCCTTTCCTGCTGTGCTTCACCAAAAGTTGGGATGCCTCAGAAATACCACATTCTTTTTTCCTGTAATTATGAAGCTGTTTTTCTACGAAGACACACATGTTTTGGGGCAGATCTGTGCTTAGGAACCAAGCTACAGAAATTCCACTTAGGAAATACAGCATAGTTCTGGATTCAGGTTAATATTTTCAAACACATCCCTGTCAATTTAATCCCTGTCTTTATTCAATTCAGAAAGAAACTAATGTGACTCAGGGGATAAATTCCTCTGAAATGTAAGACATCTTCAGGTCGCTGCGTGACCGCTGCGCTTGGCAACGTGACCTGTAGGAATCTCTATAAGGGCACTTGGCGCTGGCGGTGCAGCCTCTCCAACGATGCTGGTTCAAACACTGCTGCCAAAGCAGCTGCCCGTGACCCCCACTGCCCGCCAGTCACCCTCCCCAGTGTTTCCTGGTCACACACCAGTGCCAGGTGGTGCACGACGCGTGTTTGTTCATAAGTCCTGGGATGAGCTGCCCAGAGAACTGGCCCCTGTCCCTCCTCACCGGAGCCTGGCATCAGTCACCTCCCAGGTTCTCCCCGCCCCGCTCCAGATGTGCCGCTGTGAGACAATCACATCTGGACGTGCCACCTATTTCCCCAGATTTTGCCCTGGACTTCCTCCAGCAGCCAGCCATGGGAATGAGGAGCAGGCGGTCGGAGCACACTTTGGGCTGGCCCCAAACAAACGGCTTCTCTGGGTGCCTGGGGCTCGCCCAGAAAAATTGGCTGCCCAGTCCGATCACCTCCGCACCGACAGCGGCATCCCCCTCTCTGTCCGCCATGTGTAATAACACGAACAGATGAAAAAACCCTGCTGAGTGTTAACAATATCATTAACTTGCTAGGAATTTGATTTTGAAGTATTTAATCAATCAATTCTGCTCATTTTCAGAGAATTCATCTCCTGCTATCACCTTTTTATTATTCTGTGCAATGTAGTTATTTGAACAACAAGAGAAGGTACATTATGGACCTACCTAAAGAGATAGTTTGTCTAAGGTACCATTTAGGAATACTTTATCTGGAGTAATTTTTAAAAATTTCCCTGGAACGATACATTCACTAACTTAAAAAGGGAAGAACTTGTTTATTTTATTTCTCGTTTCCAAAGCTTTTAAAATTTTTAAAAAATATTCAAACCACTTCAATGTGATTAAAAGAAACTCATTTTTTTCCTATTCATTTATGAGATTAAGAGATTCGTGATAGACTCAGTTCTGCTTCCGCTGGAGCTGACGGCAATATATCTACTAACTTAACTCAGATCAGGGTCTCTAAATGGTATTTTGTCCATTTAAAGTATCATTTCACATTTTGAGGATCTACCAGCAAGTTTTTGTCTTGGAAGGAAGAGCTCCAGGGGAACATTTCAGGGAAATAATCGAGTCACATTTATTTCTTTTTTAATTGAATAAAGGCTCCACCCAGTTTAGATTGCTGTGAAGATTTTTAGGAAAACTAATCGAGCCATGCCCTAATGTCTTTACTAACTTATAGCGGGATGCTCATCTGTGTAAGAGCTGCATAAAGGCTTTTCAGAATGACCAACCCTCTGTTTGGAACAGGACTTGCAAAAGAGATTTAACGTCTGGATTTTTTTCCCCGTATACTGTTTATTTTTGTGAATTCACTGATTCAATTTTAAAGAATTGTTTCTGCAGCTCTAGATGTTGCTACGGACTTGTACACTTATTTGCATTTATGATGCACTTTATTATTATTAATGATGCACGTATAGAATAGTTGGATGTTTTATAAAAAACACCCAGCATACATCTAAATTAACCCAATCTTACTGGCTTCAGGTTAAATGTCAGCAGTATCAGGACTTACGTTTCAGTATGTTTCTCTGCTCCAATTCTTCAGCAGTTGGCCTCTGGCTCAGTCGCCTGCGAAAAAAGTCCAAGATCAGTTTTTGGACCATATCATATTCTCCTCAGTCCTCTGTCTTGAAGAGCTATTTTGGGGTGTGAAAGACAGAGCAGAAAACACTGACACTGCTCCATTATGTACTTGGTACTCCCGGACCATGCGTGACACAGACCATGCTTCGCTTTAGCAGTTTCCTCTGTTTTCAACTCACGAAAGACAAAATACGTTATGTCATCTTAGGCATGACTCTCCCACCCCTACCCCAGGCAGAGCTGCTGAAAGTTAAGCTACACAGATGTCTCCACTTAATTTCCTTCCTCTCATTCCTGCTTCCTGACTTGCGCAAGTATTTCTAGCTGAGACCCAGCTAACCCTCTCGCTGCCCTCTCGCCAGCCTCCTGGCTGCGACTCGTTTGTTCAAACGCTGTTTGAACAGACAGACAGTCCACAGAAAAAAACAAGGGATAGTTTGGCAGCGTTGAGGGCAGAACAATAGCAGCCCTTCTCCTCCTCCACACCCTCGCTTCCCTCCTCCCCCTCTTCTGGCTTTTATTAAATCTTACATTGAAGGATCAGCGTGACTTGCTAGTCAACCTGTACGTAACGGGGTCACAAAAACCGCAACCTAATTACAAATGGCGACCCTGCGCAGAGAAATGGTCTGAATATTCAGAATACAAAGCAAGGGAGAGAAGCACAAAGGGGTCTTTGGAGAAGTAAATCAGGGAGATGACATCAGAAGTCAGCACTGTTGGGCCTCCTCATACTCTCCTCCGAGTCAATGGGAGTTTTGTCGATGATGCCAGTGACAGGACAGAGCCTCCTCTTCCTTCAGATGCGGTCATTCAGAGACGTTCCCAACTTGGGGGCCCCAGTCTCTGCCAGTTGGAGCATCAGTCCCCCTGAGAGGTACTGGGTACCGATAGGAAACGTGATGTGAATGCCGGCCGCGTGGCTCCATCCCCTGCAGCGAACGCTTCCCCCGACCCGGGGCACAGACGCTCACTGCCACGGGTCTGCCTCTGCCAGGCTGGGTGAGGGGTGTCTGGCACCGGCTCCCCACAACACAGGGGTTGAGTCGCTGCTCAGAGGTGCACGCATCCCCCCCTCCAGCCCTCTCCAGAGCCAGGAGCTCACCCGAGCACCAGTTCCGATACCCCTGCCCCTCACGTCACGCGTGGTGCACGGGGGGGGGGGGGGGGAAGCGTGTGGGGGGAGTAGGAGCCCAACCCTACACCCGCCCTACGTGGGCAGAAGCGCTACGGGCATCTGACTTCATCCAGCCCGAAGATCTCCACCAGCAGAGGTGATACCAGACATACGTCCTTTGGGGCCACTTTACACCACAACAGCAAACCAGCAGAACAGGGCCCTATTCCACGGGAGTCATTAGCTTTGTCTCTTCCTCACGGCAGATTGAACATTTGTCTCATTGGAAAAGTGTTGAAAGGGACAGAAACTCATCCTTAACTCAGAAGTAAAGAACGCCTGCAAAGTACTTGGAAGACAGAAAGTGCTAGTCAAGTGCAAGCACTATTACCACCTTTAAGATACAGTAGCTGTTGCTAATGGGAGACTTCATCTTAGGACTATGAAGCAATTAAAACTACTATATTTCTAGCAGCCCACAAGAATCAAAAAGTTGCCACTCTTAGTCCCACCATGTGTGTCTGCAGGAATCGAGTTACACAATTATTTTTAATCCACTGCACTGTGATGCTTTTCAAGAGGATGCCTCAGAGGGATATTAAGAATGGACTCCAGCCATCCCATGTGTGGCTGCTTCTACAGAAACATACATTACACAACAAGTAAAAGGTCTGAATAGACCTGAATAAAAGTCTGAAGACAGTGCTCCCAAAAACGTCCTCCCCTTTCCAAGAAAACAGGATTGAAGCACTCAGCTAACAGTGCTGTCAAGTACAGTTCACATTGGAGCGTTTCCAAGAAAAGGCAGAAGTTTCATCTATCTGCAAAGGTCATTCACAAAAACGACCAAGTTTTCCATGTGTTTACTGGGGTACGTGCATTTAAAGAAAGCTTTCACTTCACTGTGTCATTACTTCCACGCAAGACGACAGAGACTTCCTCCAAGTATGCCCTATATGCACCCTCTACTTCTGTGCTGCTCAGAGACCTACAGACTGTGGGATTCTTCCCTGTGCTGCTGGGCCAGCCACGAATCCCTGTGACCTGTGTTCCCCTTTGAGAGTCAAATTACTTTATGGACCCCATAATCCCCCCTTTTCAGGCTGCAGTGTGCTCCATCACTTTCAAGCAATGCACTCGCATGGCAGAAAAAGCCGGGATACTTTTGATAGATACAATCTGGAGATCTGAAGCTATCTGCATTCATAGGTTGTTGATTGCTTCTGCACTCGTACAAAGCCAAGAATTTTTAATAGCAAGACCTAGGCAGTAGGAAAAGATAAAGTACCCTTGTAGTGTAACAAAATCATGACCAGTCCTTACAGAGCAGGTGGAGAAGCACAGCTGGAGGATAAAGGCGGCAATGAAGAGAAGCTGTGGCGGTGCCAGGCCGCCAGTACCACTGTCTGCTTTCACCTCTGTGAACTGCTGCTACACCCCCATTTCCATCATCCTTTTGGGTTGATTGAGCTTGCTCCTGCCTCCTCTTTGTAAGTCCCTCCTTGATGAACTCCTCCATCAAACCAGACTTTTCCCTAGCTAGCCCTTTGCTTCCGAGGTCTCAGAATTATTTCTTTTCTTGGTCTCTTGTTTTTTAATCTCATTTCTTCTCTTGCTGCCACAGTGATTTCTGCTCCCAAACTCTCTTTGGGCTTCACAAACAACTCCACCAGTTTCTCAGAACAGCTTTTAGTTCTTTTTTTCTTGCCTCTCAAATTCTAGATTTGCCAGATGTTGAACAGCTGTAAATACTACCATCTCTGAAAATCTTGATACTGAACCTGTAAATCAAGAAACATAAGCAGCTATTGCTTTGTTACCATGGCTGCAAAGACACAGTTTTTTTTCCCACCAAATTTCAGTATACCATCTCCAGTGTGCCATTCTGATATTGGCAAACACCAGGCTTGATACCTCCCCTCTTCTGCCTTCCCTCCTGTGCTGCCCAGAATAAAAAATATTAATGATGCCCACCTATCTTGCAGAGGTTGATTTTGGTAGTTTGATTGCTGGATTGCTGCTGTGCCTTATTTAATGTAACATCACAGAGGCTGCACGAGGCTGTCAGGAAGCCAGAGGTCAGGAAACAAATGTCTCATTAGCAGCACAATCAGAATAAACAGGAGAAAGCAGAGGTGAGGAAGGAGCCTGGTGCAACAGCAAAGAACAGATCTGTTTGCAAAAACTGTAAAGAATGAAGAGGGATGTGCAGAGCTGCTGTTGATCAGCAAGGTAACTGGCTGCTTCATGGAACTATATGAGCATAGGTGTCTAACCAAAGAACAGGCAAGTCAGGCTTTAAAAAGTAACAACCTTTAACAGCACTTTCTGTATCTAAAATTCTCTTGTGCGAACATGCTTGACCTTCACTGTGCCATTCATGCAGCTTTGCAATAAGCCTCAGGCATCCGAGAGGATAGGAAAGCTTGTGTTTTATAATTTGCGCTTTGCAATGTATTGCTTGGTTTATACTTCATATGTCTTCGCAATATTGTTAATAACAGCTTTGCAAATACACTGACAGAGGTTTTACTACAAAGAAAACCTTCCTAAGATTTATGGTGACATAAAGAAAGCCTTGCTAGGATTTCACTGAAAAAATAATATCCAAATGAGATTGTCAGTGAAAAATAAAACAGTTTGCTCACATTTACAAAGATAAACTTGACAGCAAACCAATTTTCTAAATTAATTCCCTGCATGATGAAAATGCACCATGCTCCTTGTGCTAGAACTATACAACAAGAGCTGAGCAGCTCTTTGTAAGGACATTGCGTGGTTGGGTGCGTTTTTTGTTTTGTTTTGTTTTTAATTTGCTCTGAACTGGGCACGTCATGCTGGATGAGTAGGAGTTTGGGGGCAGGAGGGACAATCATGCAAAATCAGTTAGACCTAAAATATTGGCTGGTGGGGGTGTAATCTCTTCAGGGAGCCAGAAGAAAGGCAGGCAGCGTTTTCACTGATGGATGCTACTGTTTGGAGCCTGCCCAGCAAACTGAGAACTCAGAATGGGAAGTTTCTACTCCATGTGGCGGTGTCCTGCAGGAACAATAAAAGGAGAAACTGCCTGTACATCCCCCCAGGCAATTCAAAATACTTAGATGAAGAGCCCACGCAGTGATGCTTACCCTGCTCTGCAGTGCAGCCATACCCAGAGGGCTCTCAGGACAGTGGCCAACTAGTTGTGGGGCTGAGGGTCAGGTTCTTGCAGCCCTTTTGTCTGGTAGCACCTTTGAAGGAAGGCGCTCCTGGCTGCCCAGGCTGTCCCCTGCTAGAAGTCATGGGGTTTCCCTCCTTCATCTCTTGTTTTGCTGTGGATGAGCTCTGAGAAAGAGCTGGCTAATGCCATCCAGCTCGTTGCTATGTGAGCAGGATGGTGCTGGATACTTGTCTTCTGGGTGCTGAGAATTCCTCCTTGCCTCTGCCCAGAGGACAAGAAAATTTAAGAGCTTAGTATGGGGTCATTGTAAGTATAACGGCTGGATATAGTACAGGGCTTGCTGGAGAATGATGCCCCATATCCTTGCCAGGCTTATTAACTCTGAGTGTTTGCAGACACAAGAGGCAGAACCCAGCAGCTCTCCAGCGCTTGAATGGTGACATCTCGTGTGCGTGACCCACGAGCAGGACTGATGGGCAAACAGGTCACGGGTGGTCACAACAGGCCACGCAGCAGCATGGTGACGTGTCCAGAACATCACCAAAATGTCTCGGAGCCCAGTCACGCTCATACAACTTTTCCTGATGACATAGGTCACCCTGATGTAAAATAACTTCTGAGCACAGCGGGGCATAACCTCTGGAGCAGCTCCTGAATTTATTCTGTAGATGCAAATCTTGTTACTCAGTTCCAAGGTTCATACCACCA